TGGCCTCAAGTGATCCACCCACCTTGGCCTCCCAAAGTGTTGAGATTACAGGCATGAGCCACCATGCCCAGCCTAGAGGTATTTTTTAAAAAGCTCTCTAGATCATTTCATTATGCAGCCAGATGAATTAGTACTGTACTAGTACATACATTATTATGCCTTTACCACAATACATTTTTAATTCTGTCTCTTGTTTTTAAGTATACAAGATCTTCAACTCAATATATATTTATTGTACACAAGGTATATGGGATATCACATATTATACTAGGTGTAAGTAATTTTGTATCCTTGTCCTAAAGAAGCCTACAGGATAGCTGAGAAAGATAATACATAAATAAAAACAAAATAAAATGATATAGGCATTATAGGGACAAAAAGAGTCTGGTTTATTATATCTGGATATGGGGTTCAATCAGAAAAGGTTTCAGAAAGGGCATGACTCCTTAAAGAAAGGACTTATCTGATCCTACCCTCCTCCCTCCTCCTTTCCCCACCTTCTCCCTCCACAAAAAAAAAAAAAAAAAGAAAAAAAGAAAAAGAAAGGACTTATCTAAATTACCTTTGTGTCTCTAACATCTCTCACAAAAACGTGGTTAACAGGCAGTCTCAAAGTTGTTATACTTAGACCTCAACTCTGCACTTCAGAAACCCACTCCCAAGGCTACACACTAGATCACATTACATGAGAAATGTTCCACCTCTGAAATTGCTCATTCCAACAACATTCAACCGTCTGACCAGCCTTTAATCTTTCTACACCTTTCAACACACTTTACCTTATCAAGTCCTCTCGTCTCTTAGTGTCTCTATTTTATCTCAGTTCATCATTTCCTTTGCTGTATTTTTGCATATTCTACTGTTGGACTTACACAACAGTATAATTTATATACAAATATGTTTGCTTTCCCTATTAGATCATAACAGGGAAAGCAATCCTATCCTTAGAATAGATAATCATTTCCTTAGAATAGATAATGGATTCTTTTCTCCGTCTTTAACACCCAACATCTTTAACAGCCAGCACAGGGCCTTATCCTTAATAAGTGCTCAGAGTAACAAATATTTGATGAAGAAATAAATAAAGTGCTCTAGTCATTTTCACTACTATACCATCAGATCTCCAAAGACAGAAACTATATCTTATCTGTATATTTCCTACAATTAATACCAGACTGCCTCATACATATCAGAGTCTCAGGGAGTATTTGTTGAATTATAAAAGGTTGAAATGTATTAGGGACTGCACACAGGGTGTGTGGTTCACACCAGTAATCCCACCACTTTGAGAGGCTAAGGCAGGCAGATCATTTGAGAACAGGAGTTCAAGACCAGCCTGGTCAACATGGTGAAACCCCATCTCTGCTGAAAATACAAAATTTAGCTGGGTGTGGTTGCAGATGTCTGTAATACTAGCTACTTGGGAGGCTGAGGCAGGAGAATCACTTGGTCCAGGGAGGCAGAGGTTGCAGTGAGCTGAAATAGCACCACTACACTCCAGACTGGATGACAGAGCAAGATTCCATCTCAAAAAAAAAAAAAAAAAAAAAAGTATTAGGGACTACAAATGACATCTAAAAATATGCTTCATAGCACACATAAAAAATGTTCATCATAGCAGAGGCAGGATGATGCAAGAAAGAGGGCTGGATAAAAGTGAGGAGGCCTGAACTTCAGTGTTGGCTTTGCCACTATATGATCTACAAATAACCATCTCTATAAGCCTTAGTTTCCTCATTTATTTTGTTATTTTTTAAGTCTAATCTATTGGGGTTTTAAGTTTCCTCATTTATTAAAATGTGGTTTGATGAAAATGAGAGTCTAGATCATTAGCTCTAACATGTGGTGCTTTTCAAGACTATTATAAAAGTGACACACTATAAATATTTTTAAATTGTACATGCCCTTGTTTTGGTAAAAGAAAATTCCACTTTATTTTTATAACTCACTTTCCAGAAGCATCCACTGTCAACAGTTTCTTTTGTACCTTTAAGGCATTCTTCATACATAAGCTAATACAGTGCGAATATTTTTTATTTTACCAACTGGACAGTCCTATACATTCACATGGAGCCTTACCAAAATGAAAGAAAAATTACTTTGATAGCAGAAAGCCAACAGCAAAAAAAATTAAAACACACTGAAATTAAGTATTTAAAACTTAATGTGTCACCTTTTGTAATGTGAGTAAAAGACATGACAAGAAACTTCAGGCGGGAAGTTTCTCTACAGGAAGAAACATGGGAGGAACAGGGGAAAGGATCATACTAACGTCACAACCACAGAAGGATGTAAAAAGGGTCAAAAAATTCAGAGAACTCTAAATACTAAAATAGCAAACTTAATTGTGAAATGCACTATGAGCTTAAGGACGGTCAACTGTAGAAAAGATGCAATTGTTTTCTTTTTTTTTGAGACAGACTCTCGCTCTGTCACCCAGGCTGGAGTGCAATGGCACGATCTCGGCTCACTGTAACCTCCACCTCCCGGGTTCAAGCAATTTTCCTGCCTCAGCCTCCTGAGTTTACAGGTGTGCACCACCATGTCCAGCTAATTTTTGTATTTTTAATAGAGACGGGGTTTTACCATATTGGCCAGGTTGGTCTCAAACTCCTGACCTCGTGATCCACCCACCTAGGCCTCCCAAAGTGCTGGGATTACCAGCATGAGCCACCGTGCCCAGCCTAGGCTGGCTTTAATATAGAAAACAACTGCATCCTGGCTGGGCATAGTGGCACACACCCGTAATCCCAGCACTTTGGGAGGCCAATGCCGGCGATAACGAGGTCAGGAGATCGAGTACATCTGGCTAACATGGTGAAATCCCATCTCTACTATGCATACAAAAAAAACATGCCTGTAATCGAAGCTACTCAGGAGGCTGAGGCAGGAGAATTGCTTGAACCTAGGAGGCAGAGTGGCAGTGAGCCGAGACTGCGCCACTGAACTCCAGCCTGGGTGACAGAGCGATATTCTGTCCCAATAAATAAACAAATAAATAAATAAAAATAAAGCCAGCCTAGAGGGAAATGTATATTAACATTAGACCCTTTATTCACAACAGCATCCTTTGAAGATCTATACCTAAATCTAACAAGGGCTTTCACATACTGAGAAGCCAAGGGTGAAATAATTATGTTTCTAACTGGTTTCTTCTAATGGTGGGGAAAATTTACCACATGATGATAGTCATCATGAAAGAAAAAAAAGAAAAGAGAAAAGAAAAAAAGAGAGAAAAGGTAGGTCACTGCGAAAGTAGAAAACTAGTTCCACGAGAATAAGGCAAAGTGCTCCCTAATGGCCAGCCTATTTATTGATTTCCCTTTCATCTCGGTACCAGAGAGTATTTAAACATTAAGTAAGGAATGTGTCACATAGAGAACCAAGCTTTCAACATCTGTAACCCATGTAAACAACATAGACTTCACTTAGATATGTCCCCATTTTTACCCCGATAGTGTAAAAGGATACTACTCTAGACTGCAAAAAATGCAAAGATCCTATTCTGCTAGGCTAACCCGTTACTAAGTCCACTTTTAAAAGAATAAAAATACAATTCCATAACATGTAAGCCGCAAGCCTAACAACACTAAACTATAAATTACCTAATGAGAAATGTATTAAAAAAATTAATACTGGTATAGTCTTTACCTGTTTATTTCACAACTAAATACAGCATGAAGGATAAAATCACAATTTGGAATTAATTTGGAGGAAGAGGAAATGATAAATTTTTATTTCATATTGTAATTTAATACACTGTACATGACTGTATAAAATTTGTCAAGTTGAAAACAGTAAAGTCTGAGAACCAACCTATAACATCTCCATAATGATTAGTCAAGGATGAGTGAATTCTAGGACTGTAAACTTCACCAAATCCACCTTGTCTCCAGACGTTAAAAACACAAACAGAATTAGGGAACTAAAATCATTCTGGTTTCCGGAACCCTTTAGGTTAAAAGGAACAATATTTTCTGACACCGGAAAATGGTGAGTAAGCCTCACTTTCACAAGTCAGTGGCTGAGGCTATGGTTTTCAAACTTGGGTGGAATATCATTTTAAGAGTCTTTAAGGGAAAATTTTTATCACTAAAAGACTGTACTAGCTACAACACAGCATAAAACTAAATATATAAAGCAGTACAGGTCTCAAACTTCTAAATTTTAGGGTCCAAAAAATGTTATGATCTCCCCATTTTCTCTCTGCTCTCTCTTCCATCATCTCTTCCCACGACACCAAATAAAACCAAGCCAGCTGACACACACAACTGATTTAGGAAGCTAAAGGTCTGCAGCGGACAACACGAACCTGGAGTGGCTTGTGTGCTACATGCTAACTATAAACACTCAACAGACATTACATCTAAAGCTCAGAGAGAAGAAATTATATGGGAATCAGGGCCTAAAAGCCTTTTTAGAAGTCCTCCATTTGACAGAATAGCACGTAAATTCTACCAACCATCACCCTGAGTAGGCTTAGTTACTTGTGGCAAGGTCTCTATAAAAATACAGATCTCAAAAAAGAATTTTGCAATACACATCCGAAGTCGCGGAGGAACGCTACTAAGGTATGATCAATAATTCCTCCATGTAATTAGCCTTAGCCTTAAAGCAGACTGAAATGGCCAATGATGGCTAGAGAACACATATCCGACCCACTAAATTTTAAAATTTAGGATTCTCTGTGCTAAAAAACGATTACATTCTTTCATATCTACCCTTAATCAAAATACCCATTTCAACTCCAAGAAGACAAAAATGAGGAAGTTAAAATATACATTTGCCTTCCTTCTTGTCATACACCTTCTCACATATCAAATTACTACTGCAAAGAGCCATATGCTATTATTCTAAGGAGTTTCTAAGCATCTCAAAAAGAGGAGCCTTGATTTCTGATGATTATAAAAATGGGGAAATGATCTTCCAGATCCATAGACGGTCATCTTGGATAAAGAAGGCAGTAATGAAAGTATGCTGCGGTCTGCGTTTCCACTTACCCTCGGTGACATCCTGGGGGTGAGAAGTCCGGTCACTGGGTGGATCCAGTGCAACAGTTGCCAGCGAAGTGGTGGCCCCAGACATCTCACTCATAGGCTCACTACGACTTGTTTCAGGCACACTTTCTCGGGAGCTAAATCTTACTCGGGAACTAGATCGAGAGCTGAGGTCCGGACTGGTGTCTGACAAACCTGGAATGTCATCGATCTTTGTCGGTGTCACCATGAACCGAACTGAAGCCATCTTGGTGGTGGTTTCTGGAGGATGCATTTTTTTTTTTCCTTTTTACGAACAACAACAACAAAAAAGCGGGGGGAACCTCGCAAAATCGTCCTCTTACGCTACTTCTGACTGCAATAATACAAAAGATAACTTGAGAAAAAACACATCTCAATAACCTTGATTCACACCACACAAAAAGCCCCAACTAAGAATCCTTCTACTCAGAATTCCAGCCGACAATCCCAGAAAGTGCACCACCAATAGGTGAATATATATATTTTTTTTTTGAGAGAAAAAAACCAAAAAACAAAAAGACAAAACAATGCCAATCTTGTGTGACTTCTTTCCTTCAGAATGAAGAGCTCTCTAGCTATCCTCTCTGGTCCAGGGCTAAAGGTTCAGTGCCATGGTCTCAGAGCAGCAGATGAAGCCTCCCTCCCCTCAGCCCCCAGGTTCCTGTCGAGGTAGTCCTTTATCTGATGGGTGTCCCACGGTTCTGGTTGACCAAAGTGCGTGCAGGCCCACCTTTATCAGGCAACTACAGCGTGGAGTCAGATTGCAAAAAGATGTACACCCGGCCACCTGTTGTGTATCAGGTGAATACCCCACAGGTCTGGCTGGGGGGAGGTGTGTGCAAAGCCACCCGGTGTTTTTGTGGTCGATAATCCACTTGGTTTTGGTGGGAAAGGTGCGCATGCATAACGGGAAAAATAACCCACACTACTGAGAGAAGGGTGAGCAGAGGAGGATGAGGGGCTGAGCGGATTCCCGTCTCCGAGAAGTCTGCGGGGGTGGCGCGCCCGCTCTTCTCCTGGCAGAAAGGTCCCCGGGGTGTGGGAGGAGGTTAACGGATCAAGACACCTCGGACTGCAGCTCAGAGTCGCGGCAGGTCGTTGCTAGTCCACTGAGCCACGGTCCGCTCGCTAGGTTTCTCCCGCCTGTGACAGAACGGGCCACCCCTTTGCCGGGAGGCGCGTTCACTCCTACCCCGGCCCCAGCGCAGGTCACCCCCTCGCCGTTCTTCCACCGGGTCCCAGCAGAGAAGGAGATGGCAGCTCAGGCTGGCCTGACTGGGCAGGAGTGAGCAGCGGGATGAGGGAGAAGGAGGTCGCAGGTGCGGTATCCCAGCGCCAGCTGATGCGGGTGCGCGCGCAGCTGTTGTTTACTAGCCGGTAACTGTTTCCGAGCCGCGGCGCACGCAGGGCTCGCCCTGGTGGGGCTAGTGCCCCCTCCCCAGCCCGACGCCAGAGCAGCAGTTACGTGACCTGGCCTCCCCCAGCCCCGGGCCCGGCGGGCTGTGCCCGCGCCGCCGCAGCCCTTCCCTTCCCTCCCCGCTCGTTCCTCATTCGAGGTGAACCTTCAGAAGAGAAGCCCGGGGGTGCAGTGAGAGGGCAGAACCATCCCGCGGGCGCCCGAAAGCCCCGCCCAGCCTCCGCAGCCCGCGGTGACAGCGTGCAGCGCGCAGCGCGCCTGAGCTCGCCGCGGGCCACGGCGGGCGGGCGGGGCCGAATGCAAGAAACCAGAGGCACGACGGGAACTGTAGTCCAGGGCACTGCCTGACCCGGGTGAAACAGAAAAAAATCCTTTTCTTTCTTGGTCCGGCAGTGCTGCACACTCACTCTGGAAGCATCTTAGGGGCGGGCACGGCTCCTCACCCTCAGAACCCTAGGAACCATTTCTCTTTCATGAGTATCTCTGAGAATATTCATGATATATTTATAAACCAGAAATGTCTCTCCCATACCTAGGAATAACCCTCCTTGTAATTTTTATGTGGAGGTCTGCATACAAATAAAGCATTTTTTTAGTGTATGTGCTGCCGAAGCGAGCACGACAAATAAGGCATTTTTATGTTAAAAAATTAAAACTATAAAGTAGACCGGGGGCGGTGGTTCACGACTGTAATCCTACCACTTTGGGAAGCCGAGGCAGACGGATCCACTGAGGTCAGGAGTTTGAGACCAGTCTGTCCAGCATGGCAAAACCATTTTGTATTTTGGTCTCTACCCAAAATACAAAAATTAGCCAGGCACGGTGGCGCGTGTCTGTAATCCCAGCTACTCCTTAGACTGAGGAAAATAGCTTGAACCAGGAGGCAGAGGTTGCAGTGAGCCGAGATGGCACCATTGTCCTCCAGCCTGGAGGACAAGAGCGAAAACTCCGTCTCGAAATAAATAAAATAAAATAAAATGAAAAGTATTGCACCTTAAACCTAAACACACTTTGTTCTACGTTAATTTTTTTCCTGTTCTTGTCCTTTTAATAGATGCTGATCAGATGCTAGTCAGACTGAAAGTTCCACTGAAGAATACACAGCAGACGACGTTGAGATATTTTCTCGACTCCATTCCATGTTTTCACTACTTCATTTACAGTCGCTAGAATATTTTTCCTTAGTGATTATTTAATGTATAAATGGAGGTGTTCAATAAATTTTGACTCATCAACATTTTGTTTGTAAAGCTATTTCCTATAGCTTTGACCAAGACCTCTAAATTTAACAATCACCTGGGACCAGAAACTGGCCCTGGCTTTGCCTGGGGTCTTTGTTCCTCACAAGTGGTTATGTTTAGCAATGGGAACTGCATTCCCTGAAATTCTCTTTTATCAAATGACACACAAAGTCCAAATCCTTTAAAGAATTAAAGGATCCTGCCGGGCGCGGTGGCTCAAGCCTGTAATCCCAGTACTTTGGGAGGCCGAGGCGGGTGAATCACGAGGTCAAGAGATCAAGGCCATCCTGGTGAACATGGTGAAACCCCGTCTGTACTAAAAATACAAAACATTAGCTGGGCATGGTGGCGTGTGCCTGTAATCCCAGCTACTCAGGAGGTTGAAGCAGGAGAATTGCCTGAACCCAGGAGGCAGAGGTTGCGGTGAGCCAAGATCGCGCCATAGCACTCCAGCCTGGGTAACAAGAGTGAAACTCCGTCTCAAAAAAAAAGAAAGAATTAAAGGATCATCAGGCACGGTGGCTCATGCCTGTAATCCCAACACTTTGGGAGGCCCAGGCGGGCAATCACCTGAGGTCGGGAGTTCGAGACCAGTCTGACCAACATGGAGAAACCCCCTCTCTACCAAAAATACAAAATTAGTCGGGTATAGTGGCACATGCCTGTAATCCCATCTACGTGGGAGGCTGAGGCAGGAGAATCGCTTGAACCCAAGAGGTGGAGGTTGCAGTGAACTGAGATCCTACCATTGCATTCCAGCCTGGGCAACAAAAGTGAAACTCTGTCTCAAAAAAAAATAAATAAATAAATTATAGGGTTAAAATGGTTAAAAAGATCCTGCTAACAAAATAAAAAATTCTAATTTAAAGTGTAAACCTCCTAAAGCTTGACACTTGATAAAGTTTGTGTTTCTTGATTCAGACTCACAGCTTTCATCCATCTTCTACAGAATCAAGTTTTTCCTCAAGACTGCCATTCATTCAAACTTGTGACTTTCCTTCCTAATTCCAATATACTATACCTATTAAGACTTTTCTTGTTTCTGAGAACTAAACAAGCCCTGTAAGTGTATGTCTCAGACGTTAATATGCAAGGGATCTCTTTATTTTCTCAGGGAGACACAGCCTCTGGTACAAAATGAAGGCTCATTCCCCTGATGATCTCTTGTGGAAAAAGTCCTTGATATATTCATGCCAGTTTGCTTTTTCTCCTCTATATTCATTAGAAATATTTCCAGAATAAATCTTTTCAGCTATATAGGTGGTGGCATGGAGCAAGGCTAATTCTTGTTTGTTTGTTTTTTTTTGAGACGGAGTCTTGCTCTCGCCAGAGCTGGAGTACAGTGGTGCAATCTCAGCTCACTGCAACCTCTGCCTCCCAGGTTCAAGCAATTCCCCTGCCTCAGCCTCCCGAGTAGCTGGGACTACAGGTGTGCGCCACGAGGCCCAGCTAATTTTTTTTTTTTTTTTGTATTTTAGTAGAGACAGGGTTTCACCATGTGGGCCAGGATGGTCTTGATCTCCTGACCTGTGATCCAACTGTCTCCACCTCCCAAAGTGCTGGGAATACAGGCATGAGCCACCACCCCCGGCTGCTAATTCTTTTTTTTTTTTTGTAAGATAAAGGCAGAATTTCAGCCAACATTAAAAAACTGGTAGCAAAATTCACTTACTGACTTCTTTGGGGCTTAAGAAATATTTCTGCAACCATTATCCTCTTAATTGGATAAGATAACCTTTTAAAATCTTTCAGATCCAATGCTATATCCAATCCTGTAAGTCAACAAGCTAAGTCAACAAACTAAGAAATAAAATTGCTTGACAAGAAACAAGTATCTCATTTCACAAATTCTGTAAGTTAACTCTTTAGAATCCTTCAGATCTAATGCTAAGAACCCTACAAGTAAGTGAACAGGCTAAGAAATAAAATTGCTTGACAGGTAACAAGTATCTCATTTCACCATTCCTATATGTTTCAGTAATTATTTGAAAATCATCTGTCTTCTATTAATTATGACCCCAGTTGAGAGATTTTTTTTCTTCTCAGCAATCCACAACTATCCTGAACTTTTCTGCTGGGATAATCAAATAGCAAGATCCGAGAAAAACAGTCTGGCAGTCACCGTAGATCACACCTGTAATCCCAGCACTTTGGGAGGCCAAGGCAGGAGGGTAACTTGAGCCCAGGAGTGCAACACCAGCCTGGGCAACATAGTGAGACCTCGTCTCTATAAAAAATTTTAAAATGGGGAGGGAGGAAGGCTTGATCCCAGGAGGTTGAGGCTGCAATGAGTTGTGATCATATCACTGCAATCCTGTTTGGACCACAGCAGTGAGATGCTGACTCAAAAAAAAAAAAAAAGTCTTTCCAGGGCCAGTCTTCATAAATCACATCTGTGCTAATTTATGTTATATCTGCTTCTGGAGTCTAGAATTTTTGATATCATAGAAAATAAGGGATGCAGAATTAAAATACAGACTCCACAAAGCAATTTTAAAATCAGCAGCACTAGGCTTGCCGTGGTGGCTCATGCCTATAATCCCAGCACTTTAATCTCTACTAAAAATACAAAAATCAGCTGGGCATGGTGGCGCACGCCTGTAACCCCAGCTACCTGGAGGATGAGGCTGGAGAATTGCTTGGACCTGGGAGGTGGAGGTTGCAGTGGGCCAAGATCTCGCCACTGCACTCCAGCCTGGGTCACATAGTGAGGCTCTGTCCCCCTGCTCCAAAAAAAATCAGCAGCACTATGCAAAATATTCAAATCCAATGTCAAAAGCCATGAATAAGGAGATTGGGTAGTAACAAACTTCACTAGTTTTTAAAAATTTAAGCCCTAACAACGGCTTGAAAAAAAAATTCCTGCTTGAATGTCTCATACCTCATCTAAATTAGGATCTATATAGAGTGGCCAGGTGCCAAAGAGAATATACAGTTAGGTGTATGTAAGAAGACAGTTCTTTGATGGAGAGAACTAAAAGTCTGGAAATATTTCCAAAGGAGCAGTAAATATGCATAACAGCATTCCTATTCAAAATGTTTGGACAAATACTGTAGATATATTAAGAAAGACCCAGGCCAGGCATGGTGGCTCATGCCTGTAATCCCAGTGCTTTGGGAGAACAAGGCGGGTGGATCACTTGAGTTCAGGAGTTTAAGACCAGCCTGTCCAACATGGCAAAACCCTAACACTAAAAATACAAAAATTAGCCTGGCGTGATAGCGAGTGCCTGAAATCCCAGTTACTTGGGTGGCTAAGGCAGGAGAATCACTTGAATGTGGGAAGCAGAGGTTGCAGTCAGCAAAGATTATACCACTGCACTCCAGTCTGGACAACAGAGCAAGACTCTGTCTCAAAAAAAAAGAGAGAGAGAGAGAAAGACCCACCACTAAATCTGTATCAATCTGAGTTTGTAGATAAGTCAATCAGGAGAAAAATCAGACTAAACAGGTTAAGTAACTTTCTCAAAGTTATACAAAAAGGAAATACTGATCTTCTGACTTTCAATTCACTGTCTTCTCTCTACAATGTCTTTACTTTTTCAAGTACTCTTCCATTTTAAATCAAAATGTCATTTCAAGGGATGAGAAATTACGTACGTGCCAACACGGGTATTTCTCAGTGAATGCTGACAGCTGTGAAAGTCTTTCTTAAACTTTCTTCCCCAATACCCTCCTATCACTAACAATGCATGACCATTCTTGCTACAGCAGGACTGAAGTTTTTCTCCCAAGTGGTATTGGTGTAATTCTCTGGGGTACGCTCCTCCATCATTTCCCTCCCTTTAAAAAAAAAAAAAACTGCCAATCCTTTCCTCCAACAACTCACAAAATGAGAGCTCTTTCAAATAATTTTATCTTTAATAATCTCGCAGCAATTTAAAATATGAGAAAGGTCAAACATGCTCCCTTTACGGGTAATGCCACCATGATAGGCTCACACAAGCATGATCAATCGCCGTGATGACACTGGATGCCACAGAGTATGGCTGGCAAAAAGGCATCAGGGCTCACAGATTTAAGAGTTTGGTTATGGAGTCTCTGAGGGTTAACAGGCAGCAGAAGAGACATCAGTTTAACGGACTTTCAGAGGACAGGGCGCGGTTGCTGGGTCATGAGCACCTTGAAGCGTTTCTTGATGGTGATTCGGTGTCGAGAGTATTTGTCATCTGGGGAGAACCGAGCAGGATGGGCTGAGCAGGTCTGTTGTCCCATCGGATCAAATTTCTGCTCGTGGAAGAGAGAACGTATGTCAGTTCAGGAGTGGTGAGATGGGGTGGAAACAGTGTGAAAAAGAGCAAACATGAAAACATTAAGATGCAATGGTGAGCTCAAAAAGTTGTACAAATAAGTAAATAAATAAACATAAAATTTAAAAAGGTCGGGTGCGGTGGCTCACGCCTGTAATCCCAATACTTCGGCAATCCGAGGCGGGAGGATCGCTTGAAGTCAGAAGTTCGAGACCAGCCTGGGCAAAATGGCAAACCCCGTCTCTACAAAAAACAAACACACAAAACCAACCAAACCAAAAAACAAAAAAACCCAAAAGCAAAAATTAGCCAGGCTTGGTGGCACACGCCTGTAGTCTCAGCTACTCGGGAGGCTGAGGCAGGAGGAGCGTTTGAGGCCAAGATTGGCTCCAGTGAGCTTAGATGGCGCCACTGCCCTACAGCCTAGGCAACAAAGCAAATCCCTGCCTCAAAAAAAAAAAAAAAAAGAAAGAAAAGAAAAAGAAAAAGAAAAAGTGACTTCTAACCTACCTAGAGATGAATACGATTTTTTAAAAAATTTATAAAATATATATATTATACATACATATTTTTTTGAGACGGAGTCTCGCTCTGTCGCTCAGGCTGAAGTGCAACAGCGCTATCTCAGCTCTCTGCAACCTCCGCCTCCCGGGTTCAAGCGATTCTCCTGTCTCAGCCTCCGAGTAGCTGAGACTGCACACCAGCCAGGCTAATTTTTTGTATTTTAGTAGAGACAGGGTTTCATCGTGTTGCCGAGGTGGTCTTGAACTCCCGAGCTCAGCCAATTCATCTGCCTCGGCCTCCCCAAAGTGCTAGGAGTACAGGAGTGAGCCACAGCGCCTGACCACATATTTTTTTTTAATTAAAAAAATTAGTCGTGCACTCCCGGTTCTTACTCACCTCGGTTCTGCACTTTCTGGTTCCCCGCACCCAGCTAGGTAACTCGGTGGATGGCCTCACCCACTCCTCCCATCTATACTTCTAGCTATGCCTATTTACAGCCTGTTTTCTCTCCTCACCTTCAGCGTATAGACCCGATCTCCCTCCTCGTTGAGGTAATACTGGAGAAACATGATCACTCTTAAGCAAGAGGTTCCAATTCGGTACGGAGCTCGGTCTGCTCGGCCGCGTCACGTGTTCGTCAATTTCCTTCCTGTAGGGCCGGAAGTCAGTCTCTCCAGGCACGCCGGAAAGTGTACTCAATTTTTGCCTTATTTTCAGCTAGCCAGAAGGGGGCGCACGAGAGCAGAGCTTGGCTTGGGGCCCCACTTGCAACTTTGCAGGCTAAAACACGTGGAGTGTGCCCACTGTGTGCTAGGTACACAGCGTTAGAGGGGGGGATAGGGATGGATGTGGATAGAACAATGATATATAGAGGGCTGTCATTATCTCAAGATACACGCCCATTTCAGGAGCAGTGAGTTTCTAGTGCCTGAAGAAACAAGGGCTCCAGCATTCAGAGCCCCTTTATCCTAGAGAAGAAAGAGGTTTTTTTCCCTCCCCTCTTTTACATCCAGTTCCCCTGCTCCATTTCAAAGCGTTGGCGGTAAAGAATGCATGACGGGTATCAATATTCCGTAAAGCGAAAATAGCGTAAAGTTATCTCATGAAACTGGTGAAGTATGTTTCAGCAGTCAAACCAAGATTCAAACTCAGGTCTCTACTGCAGATTCAGCACTCTTTCTTATAGTGGTGAGTAGCTAATAATAGCGTAATAAAGTGCACCTTCTAGGAGTTTTATAATTTTTAAAAGAATATAGAAATTCTCCTTACAGGACTCGTTTAAATAAATGAAAATGATAACCAAAATATTATTATTATAAAGATGATCATTACGGAATTATTTATAATGACAAGAGCATTGGAATATATATTAATTGTGTAACCAGAAAAACCAGCAATTTATTATTATTTTTTTAAGAATATGGTTTGGCCGGGCGCGGTGGTTCACGCCTGCAATCCCAGCACTTTGGGAGGCTGAGGCAGGCGGATCACGAGGTCAGGAGTTCGAGATCAGCCTGACCAACATGGCGAAACTCCAGCTCTACTAAAAATACAAAAATCAGCCGGATGTGGTGCCGCGTTCCGGTAATCCCAGTTACTCAGGAGGCTGAAGCAGGAAAATCGCTTGAACCCAGGAGGCGGAGGTTGCAGTGAGTTGAGATTGTGCCACTGCACTCCAGCCTGGGCGACAGAGTGAGACTACATCTCCGAAAAAAAAAAAAGAATATGGTTTGTAATTTACTTGCAGTCGCATAAAATATCTCTGCAAGGATTCACAAGAAGCAGATGATACTAGTTACAGGAGAAAGGGGTGGGAAGCAGACTTATTCCTATGTATTTTATTTTGCAGTTTGATTTTTGAACCTTGCTAATGTATTACCTATTAAAAGTTTTAAAAAATCTAGGTAATTTTGTTAGAAAGAAAAAGGATGATTTCAGCCTTCAGGTCTTATTAATAAAGAGTCTTTAGAAAAGAAGGCCCAGCATGGGGGCTCACGCCTGTAATCCCAGCACTTGGGGAGGCTGAGGCTGGCAGATCACGAGGTCAGGAGTTTGAGACCAGCCTGGCCAATGTAGTGAAACCTTGTCTCTGCTAAAAATAAAAAATTAGCTGGGCTTGGTGGCTCGCACCTGTAATCCCAGCTACTCGGGAGGCTGAGGCAGAAGAATCCATCGGACCTGGTAGGTGGAGGTTAAGTGAGCCAAGATGGCGCCACTGTACTCCAGCCTAGGTAAAAGAGTGAGATTCTGTCTCAAAAAAAAAAAAAAAAAAAATGTTATCTCAGAGGAAGCAAGAAAGATGCTGTGAACCCCAGGGAAGGAAGTCCAAGTTTGAATGAAGCTGTGGCTATAGAGGACAGTCTGGGAGTTACTGGCCTGAAATAGTTGACAGGAACCTAAGCAGAGAAATTATATTTTAAAAATTTAAATCAAAATAATTTAACAAAAAGAAGAACTTTCTGCTCTTGAAATTTTAAACTGCATGGCAGCTTTTTTTTATTTAGTGAGGCTTTTCAGCAAAGGATAAAGCTTTTGTGGAGTACAGAGCCTATGGTAGTAGACTGGACAGCTTTCTAAGGAAATGATGTGCACACAGCAATTGAGTACTTTGGATCATCTGACAATTCTATTTTTTATTTTTTGAGATGGAGTCTTGCTCTGTCACACAGGCTGGAGTGCAGTGGCGTGATCTCGGCTCACTGAAACCTCCACCTGCCAGGTTCAAGCAGTTCTCCTGCCACAGCCTCCCGAGTAGCTGGGACTACAAGCGTATACCACCATGCCCGGCTAATTTTTAAAAAATTTTTAGTAGAGACGGGGTTTCACCATGTTGGTCTCGAACTCCTGACCTTGTGATCTGCCCGCCTTGGCCTCCCAAAGTGCTGGGATTACAGGTGTGAGCCACTGCGCCCAGTGACAATTCTAGTTTTAAACTTTATTTCCCTTGATCCTTAAGTATACAGACCAATGTACTCTGAATTTAGTTCAGAAAATATAGCCATCGTTAAATTAAGTCAGGGATCTACTATCAACCTGCTGTTAATAGGAAGTCAGTTACAGAACTGGCTAGTATTGAAGGACACAAAATGAGATATGTTGGTGAAGAATTGAAGTATAGGGAACCAAATGATAAAACTGTAATATTTGGGAATCTGGGAAAGAATTTACAAATAGCCCTAAAGAGGTGAACCTCAATTGTGTTGCCAAATTGTAGTTTGAAGGGGATTCCTGGTTTTTGCATACTTACTAGAAACCTCATGGAATATCTCCCCCAACCCTCATCCCACTTTTCCCTCTCCCCTCCCCCACAGCAGAATGCCTTGAGTTCTATATTCTAGTTCTGTTTGATCTGATCTTTATCCTCCCTTCCTTGGATCCCTGTGCACCTACTGGAGCCAGGTTACTCTGGGTCCTGGACCTGACTGCCTCATTCTAGAGGCTTCCAGACAGCCATGGTTAGTGCCCAAACCTGAGAGGATGGCTTCAGAGGGAGGTAAGTCTGCAGGTGGTGGGGAGGATTCCCGACACCTGCTTGTGTCCTTTGGGACAGGCTCTTTGGGCTTGACCTAAAGGAATATGAGATGCTAGATCTCATCAAAAGTATTACACTTGGGGAGGCTAGGGAAGGAGATTGTACCATTAAGACCGGGGGCCGGGGAAGGAAGAGGACCTCCTTAAGGGCAGATCAAAGTGTCTCCGAGGACACATGCTAAGTATACAGAATGGATGGTAATTAGCAACTTGATTCTCTTGAATAGGGGATACTTCAGCATGTGTTTTTGTGGTGGGAGAGGGGATCAGAGGCATGTGTCTTAGGAGTGGCACAGAGAAATTTCAAGGGGAAGGCCCAACTTCATCTGTCTTTTTTAGGCAACTGAAACCTGCTCTAGGATCGTGCCAGCTTGGGCTTATGAAGGGAAGGGTATGTGGAGGATGGAGGATGGGAGGGTAGGGTAGGAAGGGCCTTAGCTGGAAAAGATAATCTGTAGTTATCTGTTGCAGGGAAATGCCTTCCTGAAAACTAGGCTGGAATGTATTATAAACTGCCTCTGCTCAGAACCTCAGGGCTCCTTCCAGCCCTAGATGTGGCTTCACTTTGAGTTCAGGAAGCAATTTTTCCCGATTCATCTGAGCCAGGGAGGTGGGTCATTACAGCCAGGATGAGAGCTGGGGCTTCATTGAGATGCTCTTGGTTTTTCTTTCTTTCATGGATCTCAGACCTTCAGGCCCCTTTCACTGTGTTCCATACCCAGTGGCATACCCTTGGCCCTCTGCTCTGCGGCTGAAATGAGTTTGAATCTGAGTTTGCTCATGTTCCATGGTCCGAATGCAGAAGTTGAGTGGAATATTTTTTGTAAGAGGGAGGATAATTAGGCAGGTTATGTTCTGCTTTTTTTTCTTTTGAGATGGAGTTTTGCTCTTGTTGCCCAGGCTGGAGTGCGACGGCATGATCTTGGCGCACCGCAAACTCCACCTCCTGGGTTCAAGCAAGTCTCCTGCCTCAGCCTCCCGAGTAGCTGGGATTACAGGCACGTACCACCATGCCTGGCTAATTTGTTTTTTTTTTTTTTTTTTTTTTTTTTTGAGACAGAGTTTTGCTCTTGTTACCCAGGCTGGAGTGCAATGGCGCGATCTCGGCTCACCGCAACCTCTGCCTCCTGGGTTCAAGCAATTCTCCTGCCTCAGCCTCGAGAGTAGCTGGGACTACAGGTACGCGCCACCACCATGCCCAGTTAATTTTTGTATTTTTAGTAGAGACAGGGTTTCACCATGTTGACCAGGATGATCTGGATCTCTTGACCTTGTGATCCACCTGCCTCGGCCTCCCAAAGTGCTGGGATTATAGGCGCGGACCACCGCGCCCGGCCTAATTTGCTATTTTTAGTAGAGACACAGTGTCTCCATGTTGGTCAGGCTGGTCTTGAACTCCTGACCTCAGGTGATCTGCCCGCCTCAGCCTCCCAAAGTGCTGGGATTACAGGCATGAGCCACCTTGCCTGGCTCTACTATTTTTTTTATTTTTTGAGATGGAGTCTCACTGTGTCACCTAGGCTGGAGTGCAGTAATATGATCTCAGCTCACTGCAACCTCTGCTTCCCGGGTTCAGGCAATTCTCCCACTTCAGCCTCCTGAGTAGCTGGGATTACAGGCACGCGCCACCACGCCTAGCTAATTTTTTATTTTTCGCAGAGACGGGTTTTCACCATGTTGGTCAGGCTGGTCTCAAACTCCTTACCTTGTGATGTGCCCGCCTCAGCCTCCCAAAGTGCTGGGATTACAGGTGTGAGCTACTGCGCCAGGCCCTAGAAGCAATTTCTTTAATGCAGTCATTCTCAATGAAGGGTAAGGGACATCAAAATCACTTGGGGGACATTTGCAGACTACACAGTTCCCCATCCATATTCCCTCTTTCATCTGTTGAGCATCAGTGCTCTGAGTCTTCTGGTCCCAAGAGGAACTCAGACAGGGTGTGGTGGATCACACTTTTTATCTCTGCACTTTGGAAGGCTGAGGCAGGAGGATCACTTGAGGCCAGGAGTTTGAGCCTAGCCTAGGCAACATAGTGAGACCACATCTCTACAAGAAATTTTTTTTTTTTTTTGAGACAGAGTTTTGCTTTGAGGTGTGATCTCAGCTCACTGCAGCCTCCACTTCCTGGGCTCCAGCGATCCTCCCACCTCAGTCCCCCAAGTAGTTGGGACTACAGGAACATGCCACCCCACCTGGCTCATTTTTGTGTTTTTAGTAGAGACAGGGTTTTGCAATGTTGCACAGGCTGATCTCAAACTCCTGGTGATCCTCCCACCTTGGCCTGTCAGAGTGCTGGGATTACAGGCGAGATCTACCGTGCCTTGCCTCTACAAAAAAATTTAAAAATAAAGGGGGAATTCAGATGGCTAGCTCTGGTCTCCTTTTCTGCTACTCCATTTTTTCTTTTTATTTGTCTCAACAGCATCTCCATTGCCAGGACCAGATATGAGCATGAAACCTAGTGCCAGCCAGTCTCCATTCCCTGTACTTCCCTTTCCCCCACCGACTTCTGGCCTGACAGACCACCCACCTGGGGAGCCACCTCCACAGCCCACCATGCCTTCAGTATTCTCTCCAGACAACCCTCTGATGCTCTCTGCTTTCCCCAGCTCACTGTTGGTGACAGGGGATGGGGGTCCTTGCCTCAGTGGGGCTGGGGCTGGGGCTGGCAAAGTCATTGTCAAAGTCAAGACAGAAGGAGGATCAGCTGAGCCCTCTCAGACTCAGAACTTTATCCTTAATCAGACTGCGCTCAATTGGATTACCCCGGGCGCTCCCTGTGGGGGCCTTGAGGGTCCTGCACCTCAATTTGTGACAGCATCTAATGTGAAGACTATTCTGCCCTCTAAGGCTGTTGGTGTTAGCCAGGAGGGCCCCCCAGGCCTTCTGCCTCAGGCTCCACCACCAGTTGCTCAACTGGCTCCCATTGTACCCCTGGAAAAAGCTTGGCCAGGGCCACATGGGACCGCGAGGGAAGGAGGTACTGTGGCCACTCTATCCAAGCCATCACTAGGTGGCTGCTCCAAAATTTCCAAGGACGTTTATGAGAACTTCCGTCGATGGCAGCGTTACAAAGCCTTGGCCCGGATGCACCTATCCCAAAGTCCTGACACAGAAGCTCTTTCCTGTTTTCTTATGTAAGTGGGGAGACCCAAGATTTGATTCTAGGGCTTTTAAATAAGGCGAACTTTGGGGTGAACATAGTAGTTTAGGCTATTTAGGAATACTTGAGGGCAGGTCATGAGGGCAATGGAGATGCTCTGAGAATGAAAAACATATTAATAATAATCAGCCCCTTAACCCACTATCTAGTTTATAACAACCTTTCCGGTATCCTATCTTAAGTGATCTTCACAACACTGTGAGTTTTGGCAAGCCTTTCTCTGGTAATCTTCATTTACAGATAAGAAGACTGAAGGTCAGAGAGGGTTCCTGCCATAAACCAAGGACCAGTGATTGGAACTTAGGTCTCTCACTCCAAGTGCCAGGGTTGCCCCGTTCTATTTTACTACCTTCTGACATTGAGTCAGAACTATCCAAACTGGCCAGGATGAGTGCTGGGCCCTGACTCAGGGCCCTGGGGAGCAGGGGGACAGTGTGCGGCCAGGCAAAGGACTTTGTGTGTGTTGCTCCCTCCACCCATTTTATTCACGAGAATTCACGTTGAAATAGGGTGGTGAGTAGAGCTTGCTTAGTGGTGAAGGGCATGGGCTCTACTACTCACTAGATTTGTGATCCTGGGCAGGACATTTAACAACTTTGCCCTCAATTTTCTCATTTTAAAAAGGAGGATAACTATACTTACTTCAGAGAGTTGCTGAGAAGATTAAATGGGTTAATATATGTGAAGTCCTTGGCACAGAGAATGTTTCATTAAATGGTAACTATTTTATTATCATAAAAAGGCAATCAAGAAGAGGAAAAGAACTCACAAAAGGTCAAAACATCCTTGCTTAAGAGGGAATGTACGTTTAGCCAAGGAGCCCGGGGTCCTAGGCTGTTGGTTTTGTTTACAAGTCAGAGTCATTGCTCAGCTGGGGGATATTCTCTTCTTCCCACCCAGACCTACTGTCCCTCTCAACCGCACTGTGCCTTTAGCATTTTGTGTAAGCCACTATATAACACATACCACAATTTATTGCTTTAAACAAATTGACATGGTGTTCTTCCAGTGGCTGACCTCCTAAATGAATCTCCCCTCTACCCCGAACTTGGAGCAAATGAATCAAGATGTTCCCCCAAAGTTCTAGATGTACAGCATTTTCCTGACTCCCTGCTTTTTCAACAGGTCTGAGTTCGCTCTTGGAGCCTGGCAGGTTAAATTTCTAAATCTTGAATCAGTATGGGCTCTCAAGGTTTGCATGGGATCCATTTGCTTTGGGTCCTGGCCTGCTGTGCTTCATACTCAGAGGCTCTGGGCAGAGTCTTCCACAAAGGGCAGCCCAGACCACAGCAACCTGGGAAGCCAGTAAAATGCTCACTTGTGGGATCCTGGGCAGCTACAATTTGGTTATAATGAGCTTCTCCAGGTGATGCTGATGAACAATAATGTCTGAGGACTCCCAGGGAAGTCAGAGAAGCAAAAAGAAAGCCCTTACTTCAGGCTAGGCTCTTGATTTCTTCTGGATTAGAAAGGGCTCAAGAGCCTTCTAGAAGTGGGGGTCTAGTATTGGCATTTGACTGTCTGTGGGGAATATCTGGAAACGAAGACTGGAAAACCAATAAATAAAAACACCACATGACCTTTAATTAGAGATTCCTTTGGCTTAGCAAATGCCTTTTTTTTTAAAAAAAAATGCAAGAGCCTCTGGACAAGGTTAAACCTATTTTATAGCAAATCCCGTTCATTTAATAACAAGAATCTTCCCTTTCTAATAATTAATTGAGGATGGCACTGTAAGAATTAGGGGTGGTAGCTGTGGTTGATTTTAAAAGGTGGGGAGAAGAATTATGTTTGATTTTGTATTAGTTGTAAATTTTTACAGGAAGAGGGGCGAGCATGGTAAGTAAATGGATGGGAGGTTGAATGTCTCTAAGTCGAAGCAGAAGCGGGGCATGACAGGGCCTGAGGGGCACAATAGATTTGATGAGGGGCAGGGGATGTGTTACTGAGGCAGGTGTCAGGGCAGGTGGATGGGAGCACACTTTTAGAATGTGACTGACCCAATGGGGGTTTTAGCCCAGTGCTTCGTTCCCTGGCCCGGCTGAATCCCGCTATGACCCTGGAGGAGGGACTGCCAAAGGCTGTGCAGGAATGGGAGCATACCAGCAACTTCGACCGGATGATCTTTTATGAGATGGCGGAAAAGTGAGTCTGATGAACCCTCATTCCCCGGAGGGGGGCTGTGTGGCTGAGAGCAGTAGGGGCGGCGGAGAGGTTGGTATCTGGGTGATTATCAAAAAGGATGTTAGGGCTGGGCGAGGTGGCTCATGCCTATAATCCCAGCACATTGGGAGGAGGAGAGTGGGCAGATCACCTGAGGTCAGGAGTTTGAGAACAGCCTTGGCTAATATGGTGAAACCCTGTCTCTACTGAAAAAAAAAAAAAATTAGCTGGGCATGGTGGCACATGCCTGTAGTCTCGGCTACGGTGGAGGCTGAGGCAGGAGAATCGCTTGAACTTGGGAGGTGGAGGTTGCAGTGAGCCAAGATCACATCACTGAACTCCAGTGTGGGTGACAGAGCAAGACTCTGGAAAAAATAAAAAAGGATGTTAGGCTGGGTGCATGCTTGTAGTCCCAGCTACTCCACTACTCCAGAGGTGAGGTGGGAGGGTGGTTTGGGTCCAGTAGTTCAAGACCAGCTTGGACAACATAGCGAGACCCCATCTCAATTAAAAAAAAAAAAAAAAAAAAGAAAGAAAAAAGGGAGGAGAGGAGAGGTATAGACTACGATGGGGTTTCCTGGATCCTTCCTGCTTCCTCCACCACCTTGACTCTTGGGTTTTTCTATCCGATTTCCCCTTGAAAGCTCCCCCCTCACCAGATCCTGAATCTGTATAGGAGTCTTGATATTGTAGGTCTTAGGGTGGGATTGGACACCAATAGGTATAGAAATTCCATTTTGAAGGGACCCAGCAACGAGGAGGTGGAAATACGCTCTACCAGGCAGGTTCTTTTCTCACTGACTTGGTAGCAAGTGGCTATTGATGGAGAACTTCAAGAGCACTCCTCCATTGGAAATAGTGGCATAGAAAGTCCCTTTCCTTCTTTAGGAGGGACTAGTTCTGGAAGAGCCAGGGAAAGCCAGTTTCCTGGATGCCCAAAGTTGTCTCTCGGCTCTTACTCTATTTCTCTATAATATCTTTGGTTTAAAAAATGAAAAAACCCAGAAAAATGAACGATTTTTTCTAAGTTTGGCTTCCACTTATTTCCCCCAAACCTTTTGGACCCATGCTTCCTAGATTTACCTTTCCAAGAACCCCATCCCAGTCTCAGGACTCGGGGGTCTCAGCACTGTCTTATGGTAGGAACTGCCTTGAATTCTTTATGGTTGTAGGCAGCGGCAAATGAGGTCTTGAGGAGGATCCCACCGTGAGATCCCACCAGGCTGTTGCATAGGCCTGATTAAATTAAGCCTATATTAAGCACTGCTGTGCACAATCCATGAAGCTGGGTGAGGAAGGTATGGAAAAGGAATAAAAGCCCTGGCTCTGTCCAAGAGAACTTTACAAGCTGTAGATCATTCTTGATTTTTTTTTTTTTTTTTTTGAGACAGAGTCTCACACTGTTGCCTGAGCTGGAGTGCAATGGCGCGATCTTGGCTCACTGCAACCTCCGTCTCCTGGGTTCAAGTGATTATCCTGCCTAAGCCTCCCGAGTAGCTGGGATTACAGGTGCCCACCACACCAGGCTAATTTTTTGTATTTTTAGTGGAGATGGGGTTTCACTATGTTGGCCAGGCTGGTCTTGGACTCCTGACCTTGTGATCTTGGCCTCCCAAATTGTTGGGATTACAGGCATGAGCCACCATGCCAGTCCTCATTCTTTATTTTTTTTATTTTTCTTTTTTCTTTTCTCCTTTACTTTTAAAAAAGTTTTTTTTGAGGCAGGATCTTACTCTGTTGCCCAGGCTAGAGTGCAGAGGCACTGTCATGGCTCACTGCAGCCTTTACCTCCTGAGATCAAGCGATCTTCCCACCTCAGCCCCCTCAAGTAGCTGTGACTAGATGTGTGCCACCACTCCTGGCTAATTGTTTTTTTTATCTTTTGTAGAGATGGGTTTTTGCCATTTTGCCCAGGTTGGTCTTGAACTCTTGAGTTCAAGCAATCTACCCACCCCAGCCTCGCAAAGTGTTGGGTTTATAGGTATGAGCCACCCAACCTGGCCATTCATTTTCCTGAGCTTCCTAAGTGATAACTATAGGGGAAGGAACTATGTGCTGAGCTCCCTGAGGTTTCCCTAGAACTATGATTAAGCCACCTGTGAACACCCTCCTGGGTGACATGACTTAGGCAGACTTTGCCCAATTGAGAGCACTTCCATTCTTAGCCATGCTTGGCTGTCACCTGTGTTTCTGATGGGTCTGGTCTCCTCCTTAGCATTGCCTACACTTTTCTCACCCTCTGCAGGTTCATGGAGTTTGAGGCTGAGGAGATGCAGATTCAGAACACACAGCTGATGAAAGGGTCTCAGGGCCTGTCTTCTGCAACCCCTTTGAAACTTGATCCTCCAGGGCTCCTGGCCTCTGAGGTTTGCCAGCAACCAGGTGAGGCTACTCAATTTTGATAGGAGCCGTGGGCCAAAGGCTCAAAGTGTGGTGTACGGAAGCCACTCACAGATTAGAGAAGGCACGGCCCGGGCTCTGCCACTTTCCCTCCGGAGAGTGGGATTTGATGTTTCAAACAGACCACCCCATAGGAGCCTGGGTTCTCAGGTTCCTTTTGTTCTGAACTAGGTATTGATCTTGGTCAAGTAAACTAACTACTCTCACCAAGACTGTAAATTAGGCACATAATACCTTATCTGCCTAAATGGAAGCTGGATCATGTGGTTTCTTGGAATTTCAGGGGTTCCAAAATTCCTCATACAGTGATTCTTAGACCTCTAGGTCCTAAATTTCCCATGACTGGTACTTTTTCAGGTTGCCCAATCCAGCCTGGAACCACTTCAGTGTACCCAAATTACTGGCCTTACAGAGCTGGAGGCAGAAGCTGTGGTTTCTGTACCACTTCTCATTCTCCTGACCATCTTTTCCCTTAGCATACATTCCAAAGAAGGCAGCCCCCAAGGCACGGGCCCCCCGCCGGCGTCAGCGTAAACCCCAGAGACCTCCTGTTTCTGAGGCACCCAAGGAGATCCCACCAGAAGCTGTGCAGGAATATGTTGACATCATGGAAGAGCTGGTGGGAACTCACTTGGCCACTGGGGAGTCAGATGGAAAACAGGAAGAGGAAGAAGGGCAGCGGCAGGAAGAGGAAGGGATGTATCCAGATCCAGGTCTTCTGAGCTACATCAACGAGCTGTGTTCTCAGAAGGTCTTTGTCTCCAAGGTGAGCTGGGCCTGCACATCTGGTTTCTAGCAGATCCTTGGGGTGGATGCTCCCAGGAACTAATGCTTTGGGGTTTGTCCAAGATAGTAGGAATTAGGTTTTATTCCGTAACTGAGAAATGTGTGTGCATGCATCATCATGAGAATGTGTATAGTTGGTGGTAGTCAGTTTACAACAGTACCAGGGAGTTAAAAGGGGACAGCTGGGGAGCTCATGGCTTCTTCTCTAAAGCCCCTTGCCTCACAGGTTACTGGCTTAAGGACTCATATCACTTTTCCTTCTGTTCTCCAGGTGGAGGCTGTCATTCACCCTCAATTTTTGGCAGATCTGCTGTCCCCAGAAAAACACAGAGATCCCTTGGCCTTAATTGAGGAGCTAGAGCAAGAAGAAGGACTCACTTTTGCCCAGGTAAAAATGGGATATAGGGAATATCAGGACAAGAAGCTTGCAAAATGTTATCTAACCCTACACCGTCATGGACAATATGGCTCTAGAGATGAACAGTTTCAGAATTGGGCTTCAGGTGCAGAACAAGTGGGTAGAGGGCTCTGGAAACACAGGACATGAGAATGTAAGGGTTCAAAGCATGGGAATAAGGCACAAGAAGATGGGAAAGAGCTGCAGTATCTGTCTTTGCTACCATCGCTTAAACTACTTGCTTGCCTTCCTTGCCCTGCCCAAATACCATCTCTTACCACTCATTCAGTTACCTCTTCTCACAACCATGTGCAGAACTGATTATTTGTCCATTTTCTTCCAGCTGGTCCAGAAGCGATTCTTGGCCTTGGAAGAGGAGGAAGATGTGGAGGCGTCTCCAGGTTACAGTGGAGCTCAGCTGGAGTCAAGTCCTTCTGTTTCTGATGAGGATGAAGATGGGGGTGGGCGGTTTCAGCCCTCACCTCGGCTTCAGGGGGCTGGGGGCGCCGTTCGCCTCGGAAAGACTTCTTCTTCAGGAAAACGGGCAAGAGAAGTGCATGGTGGGCAGGAGAGATCCCTAGATAGCCCCAGAGAGATGCACAGGGATGGGAACACACTGCCAGCCCCCAGCAGCTGGGACCTGCAGCCAGAACTTGCAGCTCCACAGGGCACTTTGGGATCCTTGGGTATGGAGAGGAGAAGGTCTGGGAAGGTTATAAACCAGGTACCTCCACATCAGGATGGCCACCTAGGAGGTGCTGGGTCTCCTGGGCACTGCCTGGTGGCTGATAGGACTTCAGAGGCTCTGCCCTTTTGCTGGCAGAAAAGCTTCCAGCCCAAGAGCGCTCCCAGTTTGGATGTTGGACTTGCAGAGCTGGCTCCTCTGCAAGGACAAGGGTTAGAAAAGCAAATCCTGGGATTGCAGAAAGGAGAACAAACGGGGGCTTGTGGAGTGTTTCCTCAAGGGAAGGAGCCTTTGGCAGTGCCCCAGGAAGGCTCTTCAGGAGCCATGTGGGGAGATGACAGAGGTACCCCCACAGCTCAGAGTTATGATCAGAATCTTTCCCTTAGGGCAGCTGGGGACAAGGACGAAGTCTCTGTTAGCCCAGGACTCTGGCTGAGCAGTGGGATGGATACTGCAGGCTTGGAGCTGTCCATACAAATAGAAGAGGTCATAGAGAGCTTCCAAGTTGAGGAGTGTGCAACTGAGTATCAGGAAGGCTGCCAGGGACTGGGCTCCAGGGGCATTTCCCTGGGTCCTGGAGAAGCCATAGTACCTGGGGACACAGACAGCAGTGTGATTCCCTGTGGAGGCACAGTTGCAACAGCTGCCCTAGAAAAGGGAAATTATTGCAGCTTGCCAGGACCTTTGAGGGCCAACAGCTTGACCTCGAGGTCCAAAAAAAATCGAGAACAAAGCCATGAAACCATAGGGGATCCCAATGATCTGTGGGCAGAAGGTTGCTTGCCATTGCTGGAAAGCAGAATTGGTGGTTCCACACTGGGGTCTGCCAAAGAAACCCTCCAGGCCACATGCCAAGGCAATCTCCTTATCATGGGGACCCAGGATACCTCCTCCTTGCCTGAAGCCAGTCAAGAGGCAGGGAGCAAAGGCAATTCCTTTTCTCCTCTGTTGGAAACTCCAGAACAGGTCAACATACTAGATGTTAAATATGACTATGGCCTCCAACGAAGGGTCAGCGAGGACACCCGCCCACTGAATGTTCATTCTTATGACCCTGAAGGAGAAGGTGGGGTGGATCCTGATCTATCCAAGCCTAAAAACCTTGCTGCTTTACAAGACAGTCAGGAGTCTTACACAACTGGGACCCTCAAAGCAACATCTCACCAGGGCCTTGGAAGCACTTCCCCTAGATGGGGAACCAGGGATGCCATAGTTCTGAGAGAAACTTCTGTTAGTAAAACACATAGGTCAGCAGATAGGACCAAAAGAAAGGGGAAAAAGAAGGGGAAGGAAACAGAGGAAGAGGATGAGGAACTCTCCAACTTTGCTTATCTCTTGGCCTCTAAACTTAGCCTCTCACCAAGGGGGCGTCCTGTCAGTCCTCACCATACCTCAGGAGGTCAGGGCAGGCAGAGAGCATCCCACCTGCTCTCTTCTGAGGCAAGAGGCTCCAGCAAACCACCAAATTCAGTTGCCAAGTCTGGGAAGCGAGCTCTAGTTGGAGGTCCAGCCCCTACTGAAAAGAGACCCCACTCAGGAGCTCAACTTGGGGTCCGCGGGGAGAAACCCCTAGCTCTGGGAGTAGTTCGACCCTCAAAGCCTCGTAAAAGGCGGCGTGACAGTTTTGTCACGGGCAGAAGGAAGAAACGACGTCGTGGGCAGAAGGAAGAAACGACGTCATAGCCAGTAGGGAGCAGCAGGACCATCTGACCCCACTTGCCAGTCCCTAAAGGTGGGTGCCCCAGAGTAGATTCCACCCACTGCTGCTCACCGATGGAGAATCCCAATGTTGAATCTCAGCCCAATGTTGTTTTGTTGTTCTGCAAAAGTGGCAAGCATGGAGAGGAGAGGTCAGACTGGCTAGGCTGCAGGGGGAATTACCTTTGGAAGGAGTTATATAGAAAAAAAAAAAACGAATAAAGTTTTTTTGGAAAATGCAATCAAAGTGCCCTTTTTCTGTACTCATGTCTTTGCTGCTAGATAGGGTAAGATGCTATAAAGAAAGGCTGTAGGGGTAGTCTTAGATTCTACAAATCCATGAATCTTACCTTGTCTCCAGCCTTATCTGGGCTCCCTGCAGCCTCCTCTTGGCAACAGACTGGCTCTCAAGTCCCCAGACTGAGGAATCTCAATGATCACTTTATATATCCCCTCTTCGCAAGCCTGGACTTGGTGTTGGGAAGGCTTATCTGGGTGTCCTATAATTATCTGCCTCCCTTTAAGTCTATAGATAGAAAGATGCCTTTTAATCTGTTAGATCTCTGAGATAGTGATCTAATTTTCTTTCTTCTTTTTTTGAGACAGGGTCCCATTCTATAGCCTGGACTACAGAGTACAGTGGTACAATCATGGCTGACTGTAGCCACAACCTCCTGGGCTTAGACAATCCTCCCATCTTAGCTTCCCAAGTAGCTGGGACTATAGGTGTACACCACCATGTCCAGCTAATTTTTCTATTTCTTTTTGTTTTTGTAGAGACAGGGTTTCACCATGTCACCCAGGCTGGTCTTGAACTTCTGGGCTCAAGCCATCTGCCTGCCCCAACCTCCCATAATGCTGGGATTACAGGCATGAACTACTGTGCCCAGCCTAATTTTCTAATTGTACATAATTGTGTCCAGACAAAGTACCTCTAGGGGGCCTTGTTTCTTCTTTGAGAAGAGGCTGGACAGACAGAACTTCAGTGTCCTTACTCATCTTGTGGCAGAGAAACCCTCCTGTGTGGCTGGTCTGACCAGCAGGGAGGAGGCTGGTTCCTTACAGACACGGCTCTGTGCTTCCACTAGGAGTGATGGAATCAAGTCTCAGTAGGATTATTAAATATAGAATGGTAGCAAGCTATTTTTTAATCTCTAATGAGGGCAGAACAAGAGGGAATGAGCTGAAAAGAGGTTCATGAGGAAGTCGGTTAAAATGTACATAGAGAGATGACAGCAGGAGGGGAGGATATGGAGTCTCAGTAAGATTTCTGTGCAGGAAAGAGCCCTGTCCATCTGAGAGTGAGGAAGATTCATCCAACTGTGGCCAAGAGATGAACCTTGGAAACCTTTGGGATCTTCCAATGGGTGTCCTACAACCATTCATCCCTCTCCTTCCAAAGTAATGATAGCATCAATGTGACTGGACTTCATTTTTTTTAATAGATATAGATATAGATTTATATTTATATATAAAATAGTTTCTTACAAAAAAATCAACCAAACAAAAAATTAAATCAACATAAAAAAAACAAAAAAAACCAAACAACAATAACAAAATTCAAACAGGAGCAGAGATGGGGCTGAGGCCTAGAGGAGGCCCCTGGCGCTGCCCTGCGGAGGAGGGGGTGAGAGGCTGAGGCACTCAGTCTCCCTTCTGCTTGGGTGCTTGCACAGTCCCGTTGGCCAGGGCAGTGGGGCTGCCTGGGGATGAGGCATTTGGTGTCTGGGAGGTGCCTCGAGAGGTGTGTGGGGGGCGCAGGTAGGTGCTGAAGAGCTTCCCATAGAGTGGGTCATGGAGGGAGAAGTTCTGGAACTGACCTGGACAAATCAGAGTGAGATGGGGAACAGTGAAAAGATCTAAGAATGAGAAGAGGATCCCCCTGCCCTTTTCTCAGAGCTAAAACATCTTGTCCCTCTACTTTGTTGAACTTCTCAAATCCAGGTTTTTGTCCTCTCTTCTTCTAGCTTGTTCCTCCCAGCCTCACTGCTCATAGGTTCTGATCTCCAGCACTGGCCACTAACCCTTGTTCCCTCACAGCCCAGTGCTTTCCCTGGTGCCTGCCCCAGATGCCTTTGTGGGGCTGAGAAGGCAGTGACTCACAGAGGGAGAGGCCTTGGCTGGATCCTGCCTGGCAGAGCTCAGCATGCAAAGCTGTGGCAGCAGGGCGGGGTGAACCCAGCAGCAGGTGCAGGATGGTGCTGAAGCCGTCTTTGTACAGCAGGCGTTTGGGTCCCTCGGCTTGCTCTTCAGCAAAGAGCTGGGAGACAAAGGGATGCAAGTCAAGTTCTCTCCTCATGCCATGGCCTCACCCTGCCCCACAGAATGGCCTGACAGTCTCCTCCTCTTCCAAAAGGGTGGTGCACAAGCCTTCCCTGACCCTCAGTGTCATTTCTGCAGAACTGTAGACTTTGTAGCTTTTTCCTTCTTCTTGTTCCCAGTTAGGCCTCAACATAGAGGCTGAGGCTCTGCAGTTTTAGGCAGTGTGGCACTAGGTTGGATACCAAGTGCCTGCTATCTAGAAGCTACTGGAAACAGCATACCGAACAGGCCTCCTGGAGTGGGGTGAGCATAGCCACTAAGTACCCCCTCTACCCCTCAGTACCTCAAAGGCCAGACGAGTCAGCTCTTCCAGGCTCCTGCCCCCATCCAGAGCTGCTAATGCAAGGGCCACATCTCGGAAGTCCACCAAACCCTGGGTATCCTGGTGTGAAAAAGAAACCAGGGCAATGTGGGGACCCTGTACCCTGCTTCCTGCTCTTTGGATTTTGGCTCCCCCTCTTCTCAGCAGATAATGGGGTGACCCCTGTGACTGCTACCCTCAGAACTGTGAGCGCCAAACTCTTTAGGATCCCTGGAATTTCTCTCAGGTCATAGGCTTTCTCAAGCTATACCAGGTCACGTGGTGACAAAGCCCTCCCATAAAGGGATATCCTAGGACTATAAGGGAATCCCTCAGGAATGCTGCAGGTACTATGAAGTTTCTGACATGCCAGCGGAGGGCACTCCTAGTCCCCAGGCTAGACAAACTGGTTCTCTCTGACTCGGCCTATGTAGAAGAATTGGTCCAACAGATTGAAAGGGAGTCACTGGCATAATTTCTTATGAAAAACACAAGGATGATGGCTGCTGTTCCAGCTCCATGGGGGACCATGGCATTTGAATTTTTGTTTCTGCTTTGCTACAGGCCAAATAGAGGAAGCTCTTTTCAGGGACAGTCTGTCTCAATCTAAGGAATCTAGACACCTGGTCACTCTTTGTCCCTTCAGAGGATGTTGAGAGTCACATTCTGCATCTCGATCAAAAAGCTCCTTGGGACCACTGTTGGTTGTTCGTAAGCATTAAGAATCCTTTAGGACTTTTGTAAGTTGATCGGGGAACGTGGTTAAATCTACATGGGCTTGCTAAGAATCTTGAGAAAACTCCTCTAGAGAAGCTATAGAATATTTAAAAGAATCTGGCCAAGTCCCGCAGATACATCTGGGTCTCAAGCTCTCTACCACCTCACCTGTCCAGTGATGTTTCTTCTACGTGTCATTTTCACACGTAACCTTCATGACTCTTCTTCAAAGACCCTCACCCAGTGTCTCACAAAGTCTTATCATTCCTCACTTTTGCCAATCTCTAAAGTGGTTTCAGAAATTTATAGTCCTCACTGATTATTTCTCCCTTGTTCCTCCTCATGATGATGATAACATTGCTTTTCAATGCACTGGATGCTTGATTAAAAAATGAATCTTCAGTGGATCTCAGGGGATGACCATCTAACAGCTGTTAGAACATCCACTGACTCCAAACTGTGAGTGACTGATACGGCCACTAGGAACATGTCAGCCTGGAGGGAAGCCTGGGTTCTGCTCTGCTCTGTGTTCTAGCTCCTTTACCTGCTGGAAGTAGCCAAAGGCACCAGCCACCGTCTGAGGATCAGAGAGCTGTAGCTGCCTGGCAAACTCTTCCTGGCTGATCATTCGACTCCGGCCTGGCTCTGCCCCAATGTCCACATAGCCAGGGGACAGCCTACAAAGGAATTGTTGAAGGCAGAGAGCTGTCTCAGTTTCCTGCTAGACACACCATCTAGCAGGGCTTTAGCCCCAGTACCAACAGTTCTACCAGCACAGGTTCAGCTGCTGTTTTCCTAAGATGTACTCAGTTGGTCCCTTAACAGTCCTTCTTACTTTTTTCACCTGACTTATTATATATCCTTCCATTTACTTCCCCCCTTCCTTTTATTTACTCCATTATCTTTTTCCCCAGTTTTTTTCATTTTTAAGATTTTCCTTCCTCCTCATTTCTCCGCTTCTTATTCTCTCTCTCTCTCTCTCTGTGACACCGCTCACACTCCCACTTTCAAGACCACTTACCCAGTCTTCTGAAGCACTTTTCCCAGTTCCCAGAGCTGTGGCTCCAACGCCACCTTCAGCCGTCCCACCACAATCACAGGTAAGCTCCCTACAAACTCACATTCGGTGGCTGGAATGCCCAGAGCCCTACAGGATGAACAGGAATGGGATGGAGGGGAAGGAAGCAGAAGAAACTTCTGAGGGTTCATTCCTGACTCTGGCCCACTGGCTGGAAGAATTGATCAGGCCCCTTTAAATCTCCCCTTCTCCATCTCAGCTGTCCAAGAGCCCTTCTCACAGCCTGCTCCTCAATCTTTGCTTGAAAACCTCGCCCCCCTCCACCGCCTTGTGGTTCCTTTGCCCTGTGTAACTGCTCCAGGAAATACTTTGTGGGGCACTCACTGTGCCATGACCCTCTGAACGTTGTTGGCATACAGGGTGGGGTCCTTGCTCTCCTCAGGACTGGGGTGATACACAGGAAGGAACTAAAACCGACACACAATTCTTATCAGAACCTCAAAGTGAGGTATGACCATTCCCACCCTCTTTCCCAAGGTTTCAGAGGTAAGAGATGTCCATTCTCCCACCCCACCAATGAGGGCCATACCTCCACATCCACAATGCTGCAGGGCTGAGAGGCTGTGAGCCAGAGGACTTTGAGTCTAAGAGAAGAGAGATTTCAATGCTCACCAATCGCTAACTATGGGTTCCTTCCCTGGCTTCCACACCCCACTACCCTCCCCCAACCCAGGTGGGGAGTGGGAAAAGTTCTGCCTATTGATATAGGGATGGACTCCTAGCCATACAGTCAGCTGGGTGAATATGCAGTTGGGAGATACAAGGAAGGGCCAGAAATGTGGTAGGGAAAGAGAGCAGAGCTGCATGGATATGCCAGAGGAAGAACTGTGGGCCAGAGGAGGTGTGAGTAATGGAAGAAAAAGGCAAGGGCATGCCCGATAGTGATGATTCTCAAGAAGGGAAAACCGAGGGAGAAAAATCACAGAAACATGGGAAAATAAGTGCATAGGAGCCATAATTACAGTAGGCACAATTTAGGTGGGATAGCTAATCTAAGCATTGCCAGATTATATGGGGAGATCAGGGTAAAAGTGGCATCTCCTTTAGAGTTCTCTTGGTCCTAAGATGAAGAAGGCCATTCACCTTGTCTGGAGATTGGAAGACGGGCAGGAATTCTCTGATGGACCCTGCACCCCACCCTCACCCCTGGAAATACCAGAACTCACACTCCAGGACCCCTCCATGCCCAGCTGGTGGTGTCCTATGGGAGAAACAGGTGAGGGCATAAGAGCATTACTTTTTCCCCCTGGAATTGGCCAATCACCTTTGAGCAGAGGGCCTGATCCCACCTCTGGTCACACCCCCAATGCACATCCCATCATAGCACCAACAGTTTACACTTATTTCCATTTGGAGTGGATTTGTGCTCCCCCTTTCCACTCTTTCTTGGACTCAGACTCACCAGACTGTTGGGGTAGCGGATGAGGACAGGCTGCACAGGCACTCCTGCGATGAAGGCTCCTAAATCCCATTTCCACCCCCACCCCCACAAGGCAGAGGTTAGTACACAGAAGTAGCTAGAGGGCATGAAGTATGGAGGTCTGGGACAGTTCTCAAATGAGCTATGGCCTTGCTCCACTCATTGATAATTTTTTCTCTGACTCCCCAACTTATCAGCATTAGCTAGAAGGTTCCCGGTCTCCCTTCCTTCCTCTCCTATCCCTCCTGCTCTTCCATTTCTTGGGTTATTTCCGAGTCCCTCCCCAAATCTGGAACTTCTTTTTCCTACAGCCCACCACCCACTATCATTTTATTCACCTGGTTTGAACTTAAGCAAAGCCTTCTTGTTGGAACAAGTGCCTTCTGGAAAGAATAGCACCTGGGGGGAAAAAAAGAGCTGAACGAGGTGAAGAAGGCTGAAGGCTGAGGAGAGAGGAAAGGGAAGTCTCTTCAGGAGGACATGGAAAGTGAGGAGATGATCTTGAGACCCTTACTCACCTGTGGCCACTTGCCCCCTGAGGTGGCCCGCCTTCGGACCTCCTCCACCACTCTTCGACGAGAAGCCGGGTCATGCCGGGATACTAGGATGGCTTGGTTGAATCGAAGCAGGGCTGGGGTTTGGAAAGGATATGAAGAGGAATCACTTCATTCTTACCCAGGGGCAGTAACATCTGCAGTCTCCACCCTCTCAGCAGTATGAGAAGTTTCTGCTAGCTCTTTGCCCTGGGGCAATCCCTTATTAGCAGCCGTCCTTTTAGAGAACTGACCAGAACTCCCTCTAATACCTCTCTGTCCCAGCCCTCCAAATCTAAGACTGGTTGACTAATGGTGGTAATTTATATTTCATTTGCCAACAGGCCCTCCCACTTGAGGCCAGTTCTTCTCTCCAGTGTCTCCATTGCTGACTTTTCTTTGCCCAGAGTTGTCACCCTTCCCCTTCACGACCCCGTTTGTTTGAACTCTCTCACCTCCAATGACAGGAACGGAAAGGTTCTCAGCTCGGGATACAACTTTGGGTAAGTCACAGGGCAGCAGAACAATGGGGTCAAAGAAAGTGGAGTGTGGGGCAGCAACAAGGACAGGGGCTTGAAGGCGAGACGCTCGCTGGCCCCGAACGCGAATCCGAAGGAAGCCCAGCAGGAAAAAGAGCAGGCGGCTCAGGCCCAGCACCCCATTGTGGCACACAGTCCTAACCAGGGCAAGGTTGGGTATCAGCGGAAGCAGTGGTTCTAACCCTCACCCGCCCCCAGGTTCAGGCACTGGGGAAGTAGGGCACCTCTCTTTTACCCTTAAATAGGATGTGACCAAGGGGCCAAGGTCTTTAGCCACTTTGGGACACATCAGGGCATTACTTACAGGTGAGGTCTGGGAACCAGATCTGAGCTTGGCTGACTCATTCACCCAAGTTAAATAGAATAGTTTCAGAATCCTCCCTTTTCTTCTTCTCAAAGAGGGAGGGGAATAGACAGCAGGGAAGAGAAGTAGGGTCTCTGGGGTCTGACCTCCCACTTACTTCCTCCATCCTGTAATTGGCTCCTGAAGCTGCTCCTCACTAAGTCCGGCCACTTGCAGCCAGGCAAAGGGCCAGAGGAGAAAGAGGACGATAAAGGCCAGAAGCACTCGGATGGGGGCCAGCAGTGCCCCCAGGAGGCAGAACTGCAAAGGGTGGGAGAGAATGCCACTTTAGGGCTTGGATATGCTCCCTCCACAGCATCTCTCTCCCACAAAGGATAGACCCAGGAGCAGACAGCCATCATCCCTTGCAGGTGATAGGTGGTGTGGGAACAGGAGAGAGGACTGGGACCCAAGGTGGGCTAAAGATACCAATGAGGGCAAGAGGATAAAAGATTAATGGGATCAAAGGCCTTATTTTCCTATCTCTCAGTTGGTCCCTACCCCACCTATAAAACCGAATGTTATAAAATGCATCTAGCACTTAGAAGATTTAATAAGAATGCATGAGAAAGTGCAGGGTGCTGTGCTTGATGTACAGTAGGTTAGAGATAGGTCCTCCTCCCCCACATCTTATTCCATAAATAGCTCCTATGCCCAACAGAAACCAGGTGCACAGATCTTTCCACTTTGGGCCTAGTACGCAGAGGGTTGTAAATACGGAGAGGTCCAGTTTTCAGGCCCGAGGTCAGTTTCTAGTACTGCCCAACAGCAATCCCATACTACTGGGGGATACGGGAGACAAGAGCTCGGCCCCACTCCGCATGGAAGAGGTTGCCGGGAGCCAGGCTGACTCCATAGGCTGCCTTGGGGAAGGAGCAGGTAAACAAACCTAGCCCCTGGAGCCTGCCTCTGGGGAGGTGATGACAGCAGAAACCTTGGACACTCCCTCCCCACACCACCTCGCAGTGTCTCAAGGCTGGCGCGGCCCTACACTTCCTGTAGCCAACCCCCTTCTCAGCCTCCCTGCCCCCACCGGGAGGTGCTGCAGTGCGGGGTGGAGGGGGGTTGGAGGGAGTGGGAAGAGGGGGTGTACGAAGGGCGCAGGGTCACAGGCTCCCGGCCCAGAAACGCCTTCCGTCTAAGTCATGCCCCGGAGGAGAACTCGGCACGCCCCCGCCCCCACCCCCGGCTTCCCGTAGCCTCTAACTCCGTCCTAGCCGTCAGCCTCCGCAGGATGTAATCCGCATTCCCCAGCGTCCTTCATCTCTCCAACCCCTGGGTCCCCTGCAGCCCTTCATCCCCACCTACTCCGTTCTTCCACACCTTCGAGCTGTCTAGAGCCCAAGCCCGCAGCGTCCTCTCCAGGACTCCTTGCCCACCCCCGGCCGCCCCCACGTGCGCATCCCCGGACTCCAGCTCAGCAAGCCTCTCAGCCATCTCCTTCTCAAGGATCCCCAAGCCCACCTTTGCCAGGGCTCAAACGGCCCCATTTTCCTATCCCCACGGGTCCTCCCGACGCCCACTCCCCACACATTACCTTAACCCTCTGGAGGCGGGAGAGATGTAATTCATGTACGAAGGGGTTGGGGGGGGGCTGGGGGTCCGGGGGTGGGATCGAGGGGGACCCAGTCCCCCGGACTTCCCTGGCTCATGGCGGGAGAAGGTGGGAGGGAGGGCACCCCGGCCCCGGCCCCGGCCACCACTCTGCAGAGCAGCTGCTGCTGCAGCAGCGGCAGCGCTCTGGCCCGGGCCCCGCCTGGTGCGGGCCGCCGAGAGGCGGGGAGCAGGCGGCGCAGCCCAGCCCGCCCGCGTTGTCAGGGCGCCGGCCGAGGGGCGGGGCTTCCAGGGCCCGGGCGCCCCTGCTCCTCCGCGTTCGCCGCGGCGCCGGCAGCCCTTGGGCCACTGTTCCGCGGCGGCCAGGGCTGGAGCGGGCTGCCCCTGGGCTTCGGCCCCTCTGTCGTTCCTGTCTGGAGACCCCTGGCCTCAGCTTCGGAGCGGGAGTGGGTCTGGGAGCTGGCACGGAGCTCAGAGCGCCCTCGGTCCCCGCCCGGGCGTCGAGGTCACCCAGCGAGCGCAGATCGGGGTGGGGCCCTTGAGTTGGTGGGCAGGCAGGGACAGGTGGGCCGGGTGCGGACGCCGGCAGCTCGAGGGTGAGGTGGGAACCCGCTCTGCCTGTGGGCTTCCTGGCCCGGTCCGCACCTCCTCGCAGGCGGACCACCTTTCCTTCCCGGTCCGGGGAACGCCCTCGCGCGGGGACTTGAGGCACTTGAGTCCTCTGGCGGCTGCATGGCGCCCCGCAACTCTGCACCTCCGCGTCCTGCCTGCGCTAGGCAGGGCCGCCTTTACTGGTGTGAAAGTTGGTTGAATCCCTGAGGCGCCAGGAACCCCCAGTACACTGGCCCATGTGTTTCCCATGAGCCCGACAAGGCCTCGCTGGCGAGAGGCAGTGGTTCTGATCTCCGTCCCTCTCTGGGTGAACACAGAGGACACAGTAGTAATTCCCCTCATCCACAAGCTCCAAGCTACCCTACTCTGTAGCCTCAGGCCATGGTGAGATCCGGGACCAGGGAATTAGGTGGACTCTGAGATCCATTGCCATGACAAAAGGGGTAAGAGTCTCATTGCTTGAGGAAAGAATCTGCTCTAAGTTCACTTTATTTCTTCTGCCCAGTGAATGGCATTTAGGGCAGCTGAAGGAGAAAGTGAAAGAAAAAGATACCTCTCATAACCAAGAGTGTTTGCCGCCACTGGCTTCTCCTTTGAACCAAACTCCAGATTAATCTGCTCCAGGAAATTTTCTGAGCCCAGGCTGAGAGGGTTGAAGGCTCATGCATCCTACTGAGAGTAGGAGCTGCACTGGGATATTTTTTTATATAACACGGAGGAGGTCCCAACACAAATACATCATTTCCAAATTTTATTTTTGTAAAGATAGGGTCTCGCTATGTTGCCCAGGCTGGTCTTGAACTCCCGGTCTCAAGTGATCCTCCCACTTCGGCCTTCCAAAGTGCTGGGACTACAGGTGTGAGCCACAGTGTCCAGTCCAAACTTTTTTTCTAAGCAGATGATTTCAGCTTTGTACATTCTCAACAGAACCGAGAAAGTACAACTTAATTTATTAATCTCTCTTGCCTTTAGGGAAAAGGATGGATGGGTGTGTGTGTGTGTGTGTGTGTGTGTGTGTGTGTGTGTGTGAGAGAGAGAGAGAGAGAGAGAGAGAGAGAGATGGAGTTTCACTCTTGTTGCCCAGGCTGGAGTGCAATGGCGCAATCTCGACTCACTGTATCTTCTGCCTCTTGGGTTCAAGCGATTCTCCTGGCTCAGCCTCCCAAGCAGCTTGGATTACAGGCACCTGCCTCTATGCCCGACTAATTTTAATTTTTTTGTATTTTTAGTAGAGATGGGGTATCACCATGTTGGCCAGGCTGGTCTTGAACTCCTGACCTCGTGATCTGCCTGCCTCGGCCTCCCAAAATGCTGGGATTACAGGTATGAGCCACCGTGCCCAGCCTAGGAGGAGGTTTAAGGACTAAGATAATGTTCATAAGGTGGGAGACAGGGAAAGATGAGAGTGTAGGGAAGTTTAAATTTTTCCCTTGAATGTTTGATAATTTGAGTCTATAAAACAAACCGATGATATAGATTAATGGGAAAAGAGGCCTGCAAATTTTATTTGATGCACATGTGTGTGGGAGTCATACAAAATATAAAAACTCAAAGAAATGGCCAAATGGTTGCTTTTATACCACCTTGAGATTACAGAGATTACAGAAAGAATGGGGCCTGCATCTGGGCAAAACAGGTTATGGTGGCAAGACAGGTTATGGGAGGGGAGAAGAAGAGGCCTGACTAGCAAAAATGGTCTTGTTGAACAAATGAAATCTCACAGATAGTAGCCTTTAGAAAGAATAGATGGTAAAGGTTTCTGTCAGACCTTTAAAGATGTCAGACTCTTGATCTTTCCTAGATCTGGACAAGGGAGAGCACCAGAGAAAACCTGTCTGTGTCAATGCAGAGTCTCTGCAGATGCACATTTCCCCCACAAAAGACCACTTTGCAGGTCTTCTGAACAGTCATTTCAAAATGTGTCAAATTCGGAATGAATTTTTTTGGTACCCTTCAAGAGCATTCAGTAAGCACCATGAAAACCCAGCTACAAGGCTAGAGTTTTGGTAATCAAATATTTGCTAGTGTCAGTCATCCAGGATGAACTAGAAAGGTCATTTCTATGAATGAGTCATGAAAGCATCCACATTTCCCCTTTTTCTAGCCCCTCACCAAACTATTATGGTCGCATTTCTGTAGGCAATCTGAGAAGGGCAACCCAGGTAAAGAATAACCTTGAGAAATTGATAATCTCTGGTAGTATCTGTCACTCCCTTCAAAATATCCACCAGGCTAGACAGGTTCCTCCTCCACCTGACACCTGCATCTTTATCAGTCACTGTTACCTAGGGGTAATGGAGACAATGACAGATCAATGGAATTCTGGATCATTGGATACCATTAATCTTCTATTGGAAGGGGGACCAGGCAGAAGCTCAAAGTCACTCCTATCTAGACTCCCTCCCAACCTCCCATACTTTGTATCCTCAAAGAGAGCAGTCAGCATTCTCAGTGTTTTCTTTTTCTTCTTCTCCTCCTCCTCCTTCGCCTCCTCTTCTCCCTTTTCCTCCTTCCTCTTCTTCCTTCTTCCTTCTCCCCCTCCTCTTCCTCCTCTCCTCCTTTTCCTCTTCTTCATCCTCCCTCTCCTCCTCTTCATCCTCCCTCTCCTCCTCCTCTTCCCTCTTATCCTCCCCTCCTCCCCTTCCTCCTCCTCCCTCTTCCTACCACTCCTCCTCCTCCTCCTCCTCCTCCTCCTCCTCCCACCTCCTTTTCCTCCCCTACCTTCTTCTTTTCCTAAATAGAGATAGGGTTATGCTTTGTTGCCCAGGCTGGTCTTGAACTCCTGGGCTCAAGCGATCATTCTACCTCGGCCTCCCAAAATGCTGGGATTACAGGCGTAAGCCACTACACATGGCCTGTCCTTTAAAAATTTTTAATTCTATTAATCTTACTTTTCATTTCTTTTAAATAGAAATAGGGTCTCACTATGCTGATCAGACTGATCTAGAATTCCTGGCCTAAAGCAATCCTCCTGCCTCAGCCTCCCAAAGTGTTAGGATTACAGGTGTGAGTCACCACACTAGGCCAAGATTTATTTCTGTTATGAACTGAATGTTTGTGTCTCCCTTCCCCCCAGTTCATGTGTTGAAGCCCTAGACCCCAATGTGATGGCTATTTGAAGGAGGAGTCTTTGGGAGATAATTGGGTCTAGATTAGGTCATGGGGTAGGACCTTCATGATGGGATTAGTGCCCTTATAAGGAGAGAGAGAGAGAGAGAGAGAGAGAGAATCTTTCTTTCCATGAGCACATATGGAGGAAAGGACATGTGAGCACACAGTGAGAACACAGCTGTCTACAAATCAGAAAGTCAGCTCTCACCAAGACACCAAATCTGCAGACACCTTGATCTTTGAATTCCCAGCCTCTATAACGTGATTAATAAATTTCTGTTCTTTAAGCCCCCCAGTCAATGGTATCTTATCACAGCAGCCTGAGAAGATTAAGACAATTTCTTAAAGGTTCTTAGAGAAGATTTCATAGCTTTCTTTTATCTACTACTTAAAGGAGGGCAGGTTTCTGTACATCTTGTGTTTTCCAAGGTAGTTCTAATAATTTTAAAATTTCATTTTTTAAAATTAAGGCAATTCATACACGCATACACATAATTTTATTTTTATGCCTTTAATATTTTATTTATTTTTAATGTGCACTTCCGATTTTTTTTTTTTTTTTTTAGAGAGGGAGTTTCACTCATGCTACCCAGGCTGGAGTGCAATGGCGCGATCTCGGCTCACCGCAACCTCCGCTCCCGGGTTCAGGCAATTCTTCTGCCTCAGCCTCCTGAGTAGCTGGGATTACAGGCACGCGCCACCATGCCCAGCTAATGTTTTGTATTTTTTTTTTTAGTAGAGACGGGGTTTCACCATGTTGACCAGGATGGTCTCGATCTCTTGACCTTGTGATCCACCCACCTCGGCCTCCCAAAGTGCTGGGATTACAGGCTTGAGCCACCGTGCCCGGCCAACGTGCACTTTTATTGAACTGGTCTCAAGTCAGTGTACAGGTAACCCCTTGCTACTTTCACACCTCCACCCAATCCCAGGGAGACCAAAAGCCTTCATATATTTCAAGTTGGGGAATAAAAAGTAAGGCCACAATGGCTCATTCTAAATAAAACAGGCCAGATGTGGTGGCTAAAAAATTACTAAAAGGAAACATCAAGGGTAAGGGGAATTCTGGCGAAAGTGACCTAAGAGGATTTTTGCTGAAGGCAGGCCAAGGGGATAAGAAATTGAGGGTGGGTATAGTGAATTTGATCAGACACCAAGAGTGGGGGAGTTCTGCTAAACTGACCCAGTAGGACTCTTGCTAAAACTGGATCAAGTGGAGGCAAACAAAGAAGCCCAAAAGTCAGGGCCCGGTTGAGAAGAGTTCAGAAGAGTGCGACTTGAGTTAGGTAAAGAGAATGTGAATAAAACTCACAGGAGGTCATTGGTTTGACTATATTCCTTCACCAGGCCTGATAGACCACACCAAAATGCTGAAATTCCACATCACCAA